ACTCGGTACTCTCCCAGATCTCGCTCGCCACTCTCCTAGATCTCGCTCGCTCACTCGCCTCTCTCACTTTATACAATTGATCTTTTTGTATATGTATACCAAAACGGATTATACAACTGTTTTTTTTGTATATGTATAGCGAATTACATATAACTTTTTTAACCACAATTTGAATTTGAACTCAAGAAAATTTTAAAAAAAGAAGTTACAAATGGATAGAAAAATCCTAAAGGTATAAAATAGATAGTAATTCATACCTTCAATATAGGAACATACATTATATCAACACAAATAAAAAAAAATTAAAACGGGTTGAAATTGGATATTAAATTGGAAAAATTACCTAACTACACATCATTTATGTAAGTTATACTATTAAATTAGGCTAAATTGAAGATTCTCTTAAAATAGGTTAAAACTTAAATGAATTGAGATTGAACCCATGTTAAATTATCTTAAGTCCAACCTTTAAAATTGTGAATGAATTGAACGAATTACCTATAGTTGAACTCATTTTGACACCTCTAGATGCAACTGCATTGTAAATTCAGATGATTTTCATTTGCTGGAACAGAAAGGAAAGATAACAACAGTAAAAATATGTATGTGTGCCTAAGTTATATAGACTTTTACTGGACTACTCAGGTGGGGTTAAAAAAAGTATTTACTTGTACCTGTTTATAAAATTCGTTCTTTAAAAGATTACAACAATAAGTGAAAAATGGAAGTCAGTGTCCAATAACCAAGAGCTTTACAAGTAGTTGGATGTGAGAATTCATTACTTTTGGAGTTGCTGGGGATAAGAATAATCTGTATATGTCAGTAAGTGCTAGTAGTTATGATCTTGAGTTCGAGTCTGAATATGAAAAAATCTTTGATAGGGAGTATTTCCCCTCGAATGAGTTCTACGTGGCATGAATTTGGAATAGTTAGGCTTCAATGCAGGTACGACACCGGATGAAAAAAAAAAGTAGTTGCAAGCTTCCAAGTTATAAATCATAATAAGTTTTTCAAAACAATGTGACCTCAAAACTTCGAAGTGATAGTAGTTATTTACAAGCTTCCAAGTGACTGCTTTAGTTGGAAAAAATCCAAAAACAATGTCACCTCAATCTTAAAAATTGTTTGGGAAGGGAGATCACGTGAATTTGGTTCATGAACATAGAGCTTTTTCCTTGGAGCTTCTTCTTTAATTCATACGTGGCACAATCCTACGCCTGATTATTGGATTGTAGATAGTTTGTTAAAATGGGTAATGGGGCGGGTTAAACGAGTATTTGAAATTTGGGTTAAATATTTGATCAATTC